TTGAGAGAGAGAGAGAGAGAGAGAGAGAGAGAGAGAGAGAGAGAGAGAGAGAGAGAGAGAGAGAGAGAGCTAGAGAGCTATGTTAGTGCAGACATTGCAGGATGTGTTGGCACTATGTCAGCACCTGGGTGTACTGGGGCGTGGCAGGGTCTGGGATGGTGTTGGCAGAGTTGGGGATAGTGGTGAGTAGTGAGGCAGGGGGTGTTGTTATGTACAGTACAGGAACCTGTGCGCTCACGACTGTGGAGCTGGTGGAAATGGCAGGGGACATGGAAGGGCGCACGGGCAGGGTGGCAGGGGTATGTAGTGCTAGGATCTAATGGGTCTTGTAGATTCTTGTTCCCCGGCATGCCTAGGGGCCTTTGGGACGTGTTTGGCAGGACTTTGGGGGTCCAAGGTGGAGGAACGTACTTGGAGGTAGGCAGCCAGAGGGTGGGGGCGGGGTGGGGCTCCGCGTGCTCTGCTCACCTCTGCTGGCCTCAGCTTGATCCCTGGCTCTGTGCGTCGCGGTCAGGAAGTTTCCGTAGCTTGGGCAGTGAAAAGCGCCGCTGACACAACTGCCACCCGCAAACGCCACCAGAGCTCCGGGCGGCGGCCTCTCCGGGGCTTAGGGGCCGCCGCTGCTACCGCCGCAGCGGAGGGAAACTCCAAATCCCGCCTCCGCCACCGCCTCCGCCGCCGCCGCCTCCTCCCCTCCTGTGGCGGTCTTCTCCGCCCCCTGCCCAGGAGGGGCAATGTCTCCAGCGGCGCGCTGGGAAGGATCGGGGAGGGGCTGAGGCCTGCCCAACACCTCCCCTGCCTCCCACACCCTACCCCTCTCCCACCCACCTGCAGGCCCCTGCCCTCTTCTTCTGCTTGATTGATGCTTCCTGTGGTCTCATGCCTCCCCAAAGCACTGTTGCTTATCCCCCCTTACCACGAGCTTGGGCGCTACAGTATGTGGGGAGGTTTGACCTCATCTGTGTTTGGGTTGGGTAGTGGTTGCATAGTAGTCTACATTGGCATACCTCCTTCCTGCAGAAGTGAAGGGGCCCACCAGCGACAGGGCATATGGCTTGGCTTCCAGGGCCACCTCCAGTCCCCACAACAGAGTGGGTGTAAGGTCTGATGGACAGTGCTGCAAGTGCCCCCTTCCCCCCGGCCCCCCCCCCCCCCCGTCACTGTCTTCTCATGTGTCAGATTTTGTTTAATAGGAATAGCATGTGAGCCTTAGTGCCCGGAAAGGGTGGAGCTGCTAGGACATTGAGGGAGGGGCTTGGAGCCTTTGGGTTTCCATTTACTTCCCTTTGCATCACAGGTCCCAAGCATTCTCATCCAGTACTGTATTTGAACCTCACATCAGTTCTGTGGAAGTCAAGGGAGACGGTTCCCATGCTACAGCTAGATCAACTGAGGCAGTGGTTGGAAAAGGGTGCCAAGTAATATGGCGAATCCATACTACTTGTGTGGCCATTCAGGCCACAAGTTGACTGAAGTCTAGAGCCTCAGGTGAACAGTTGTACAGGATACCAACTGTTTCCAGGTCTCATTTCCAGCTTTGGGTCAGAAGGACTGAGAGGAAAGGACTTGTTCTTTCTAGGGCTCCCAAGGGAGTCATTGGTGATCTGGGACTCAGGAAGTTCCACACTGGGGAGATGCTGAGAACCAGTCTTTGGTCACGCACTGCCAAGGGCTGGCTTCTCTGCTTGTGAGGCCAGGAAGGCTGGGGTGCCAGCAACTCCTTGGATGGGGGGGGGCAGCCAAGGGAGGCCTGACTGCTGGGCTGCAGGCTGTGTCTGCAGCAGTGCGGATTCCCCTGAGTCATTTACCCCTGTGAAAGAAGGAAGGTGACAGCTTGGCCTCCAGCCACCAATCTCCAGCCACAGAGGTCCCATCCCTGGGATTTGGTTTCTTGGTCTGTACATTTGGGAAGGGAAGCAATATCCTATAATCTTCAGCTGAGTTTTACAGCAGGATCAGACTCTGATGTGTGAGCCAGGGCAGAATGTGGATTCTGCATCCTGGCACAACCACCATGCTCTTGACCTTAGATTCCCCTCTTTACCATGCTCTTGGCCCTAGATTCCCCTCTTTACCATGCTCTTGGCCCTAGATTCCCCTCTTTATCTCAGTTTCAGCAAAACGTCACTCTCTTCTAGGCAGAAGCCAGCATTATCAACGCCTCCCTTCCAGGAAGGGACACCAGACTGGCTGCCAGCTTTCTCTCTAGACCACTCAACTCCGGGCTCTTCCTGCCCTTCAGCACTAGTTGATGAGCTCAGGACTGGATCCTGCAAACGCCAAAATGGTGGCACACAGGCCAGCCTTTGGTTCCTTCCTACTTCTGGACCCGGGTCTCTTTGGCAGTCCCAACTGTGCCCTATTCCAAGGTTATGGGACCTTTCTTTAGAAAGTAAAAGAACACACCTTCAATCCCAGCCCTCAGGAGGCGGAGGCAAACAGATCTCTGTGAGTTTGAGGTCACCCTGGTCTACAGAGCTAGTTCCAGGACAGCCAGAGAGAAACCTGTCTCAAAACAAAACAAAGTCAAAACAAAACAAAACAAAAAACCCCAAAACAAACAACAAACAAAAAACACCAAGAAAAACCCTACCAAAACCAAACTGAAAACCAAAACAAAACAGAAAAAAAAGCTGAAAGCTGTGCTCTATCATAAGGGACTTTTCTCTTTTTATCTATGAACACAGGAAAATACAGAGAGGCAAGAAAGATGAGGACAGTCATTCCCTGCTCCTGTTTACAGAGAACACGGGGCAACTTTGCATGTGGCCTGGGCACTCATCTGATGAACTGGCTCAAATGTGTTTCTAGACAGGTTTGTAAACTACGCCCCCCCCCCCCCCCCGTGCATCCGCACTTGAGTGACTCAGAGCTGAGAGGCTGGAGGAGGTATGCTTGCCTTAATTCTGTAGCCCCATCTTTACAGAGCTCCCATTCAAGCCTCCCACAGTAATCGCTGCTCTTCAGGCAATAAGAGCCACTCTTTGCTGCAAGAGAAGAAAGCCAGGCTGGTTGGAAGATGTCTGGGAAACTGAAAGGTCCAGGCCTGTCTGGCTTCTGGAAATAGAGTCTTTTCTTTATCTCTAGGGACTTTACTTGACTATCAGGGTCCAGCCTGTGCTCTGTTGAGGTTGGGGACTAAAATGTACAACTTCCCAGTACTCAGGAGGCAGAGGCAGGTGGATTTCTGTGAGTTTGAGGCCAGCCTGGTCTACAAGAGCTCGTTCCAGGACAGGCTCCAAAACTACTCAGAGAAACCCTGTCTCAAAAAACCAACCAAACAAATAAACAAACAAAACCAAAACAAAAAACAAAAAGTACAACTTTTTTGACAGAGGCTTGAGTGCAGATTCCCATCGCTGAAGTGGGGACACGGTATCTCTGTAGCAGCCATGTTTAAATGTTTAGGTCCTCGTGGTTCCTGACAAACCTCAGGATAAGAGGATTGTTCAGCTCTATCCCTTTGCCCTCTCTATGCCGCCTCCTCTGAGCTCATTCTAGCCAGTCCCTTTGTTTCCTAAAAGATCAAGGCATTCGCACAGGGCCACGAGCATGTCACACCTTTCCTTTCTTTTCCATTCCTTAGGGACAGCCTTTGGGTGAAGGCCATCTCATTGCCATTCCAGACCCCATGCTCTCTTGAATCTCTCTCTGCTTCCCCAAAACCCAGGCAAAGCGGAGGAGCTAGGATGACAGGCTTTCCTTGGGATGGAGAAATCTTCAACCTGGCAGTGTCACACATGTCTGGGCCAGCTCTGCCACTCCATGATGTAGCAGTCCTTGGAGTAAGATCACCTGTAACTGTTAAGGCACACTTTTTTGGTCCCAATTATGACCACTGTCCAAGCAAGTGGAACTGTGGGAGAGACGTGGGAAATTAATGCCTGCTGAAGCCTCAGTCCTGGTGTAGGATTCCCAAGCTGGACAGAGAGGAAGGCTCTTGTCTGCTCTGGAGCTCTGCCCCCACCCAGTTCTCCACAGCCTCTTCTGTGCCCCGTGGCATTTTGTTCTGAGTGCTGTGCCCAGGCTGAAGGCTTCTCACATAGAAACCTTGTTCACATCTGGGGGCACTGTTTGGATGCACGCGAGCATGCACATACACACACACACCTGTACCTTTATTTCTGGGCAACCATTTAATAATACAGTGAAGAATGCCTGTGGCTGAAGCCATCTGCTATCACAGGTGCCCCAGACTGCCATGGCACCTACCATCTGTGAGTAAGCAGGCTTAGCTCTGTGCTTAGCCCAACCCCTTCCTTGGTCCCATCCTTGATCAACAGTGCTTCAGTTAGTGTCTTCTAGATGCATCTTGCTACCATGTATCATGCTTTCATATGCAAATTATAGACCCATTTAGAAGATGTTCCTGAACCTGGTGGCTTTCTTCAGGGTCATACCCAGGCGTGTTAAACAAAGTGGCCCATGGTGGCAGCTTACAAGCTACTCTTGCAAGATGAGGTCAAAAGCGGGGCCAACCAGGCAGCGGAGTCCTAGGGCCCCAGGTGTATAAACTCTAAGCAGGAACAGGAGGGAGGTGAGAGAAGAGGGGGGAGAGGGTGGAATAGAGAGAGTCAGTCTGCAGAGTGATTGATTTCTGGAGGCAGGACTTCCAAAGCCACATCCAATAACGTGGTTATAAACCCCTTCTGGCAGTTGCTGGGCTCCTACTCCTTGTCTTGTCCTTTAGAGAAGGATTGTGTGTGTCTGTATCTACATTACAGATGATATAATCGTTCTACCAGGAAAGAGCCAGCCACCCACACCACTGGCTCGACAGGCAAAGGGAGGTGAGGGTGGACAGAAGTCGTGATTTTTATGCAGAAGGAAAGAACAGGCAAATCAGTGCCTCCCAGGCTTACCCAAGGGATGTCAAAAAACAGAAGGAGACCAGGAACACGGTGAGTTCCCAAAGACGGAAGGACTGGGCTGCACAGACAGATGTCAGCTTTCCTACTTTAGACATCTCCTACCACTGCTTTCTTCGCGGGTCAGGAGAAAGGCCTCTGTGAGTGTTGTTTCTAGACACATCTCTGGATGGTTCCCCCACCCCCTGCCAGGAATGTGCCTTGCTAGTCAGGCCTGCTCATCATAAGAAACAAGATAATATGTGAAGCAGGCAGCCATGGACAACCCAGATCAGGGCTCCTGTCATGGGGAGGGGAAGGAACACTCCTGGAGAGGCTGTAGGGGGGTCCTATGCAGCTATAAGAACCCCAACTATCTTCTCTGTTGGTTCCTCTGGTGGCCTTCTTCTCCAGCTATCCTGCTTCCCCAGAACTGAAGAGTCCAGGGCTCCACTGACTTCCTGTCCCTAGATTCCCAGGCTGGCTGAGCCTCAGATGCTCCTGCCCTGCTCAGTATGAGACTTTCTCAAGTCCCTGTGGTAAGCTGTGGCATATCTTGGGGCACAGTCTGGGCTTTAGGTACCAGAAATGACATTCTAAGCAAAGATTCAATGCTGGTCGAGCTAAGTGGCCTCCAAGAGAAAGACTTGGGGGAGGCCTGGCACCTTGTCCTGACTCTCTAGCCTGATTGCCTTTTGAAGCATTACTGCCTCTATCTTAGCTTTTAAGCTTAGAAATGTCAGGAGGAGTCTCCTTATATGTAGGAAGTTCTCCTCTAT